CCACTTGATTGTAGGGAAAAAACCTCAAAGTGATTTATTAATCCATCTAGCTCAGTGCTGTTCTGCACTGACTGCAGCAGCTCTCCAGGGTTTCAGCCTGGAGTCTTTCCCCGACCTCCCTGGAGATGTCACCTGGAATTTCTGCATGCAAAGCAGATGTTCTACTTCCAAGGTACAGTCCCTTCTTCCCCTGGCTTGCCCAGAGCTCAGCAACCCAAAAAACCTGAACACTGATTCAGAAGCTTTTTTAAAAAATCAACAAAAACAGCGTCCCCAATTATTTGGGCAGCCCTTTATCATTTTACCTTTGATTTTAATCATTATTCAAATGTTTTAAACTGCTGCTTTTTAACTGATTTCATTGATACTTTATTCTTTTTTGAAACCACTTTGGAGGTTGTTTCTTGCAATCAAAGGGGGGGGTACATAATTTTTTCAAGATAGATGACTATTTTTAAAAATGACTTGTATAAAAATATTGGTTTTAAAAAACTGCAGACGACAGGCTTTTCCTTAGAAGAGGCCTTCCCCATTCACAGAGGTGCTGTGCTGCCACGTGTGCGAATCACCCAGAAGCAGGATACTCCTCCCCGCCTGCCTGCTTCAAAAATAATTGTTTTAACTGCATGCAAAGTCATGCAGCTAACAGAACAGCTCAAGCCAATTCCCATTGCTCAACCGACACTGTGCTGAGCGTGCATTCCCTCAGCTGAGTCCTCCTGACTAACACCAGCCCTTTTTTATTGATCTCTTCCTCCTCATGGTCTTCAGCTTCCCCCTCCGCAAAATGGACCTCCGTCCTCCATCCCCGAGTCTGACCAGGCCAAAACACAACAGCAGCAGCAATAACAGACCATGCTGAGCCACCTCAGCAAAACAGAGCCCAAACACAAAGCGCCAGAGGCCCCCCTCTGGAACAGCAGGACTGCAAGAGGCTTCAGCTGGAAGAGTTGCCCCCACCCTTTCCCCAGATTACAAGGCTTCCTTGGCAATAGTTTTATGGGAAACCTGTGTGTGTGTGTGTGTGTGTGTGTGTGTGTGTGTGTGTGTAAAGAAAGGGAAAGCTAAGAGGAGAATGAAAGGAGGCAAAATGTCCTCAATGTGCAATCAACCGTATGGCTAAGATATAAGACCGCGGCGCTTCTGCTTTGGGCTTAAAGACAGCAAAGGGACAGGCAAGCTCAGAGCAGGGATGAGGAGCCTCCAGATGTTGTGGGACTCCAACTCCCATCGGCCACAGGCAGCCTGGCCAATGGGAGTTGGAGTCCCACAACATCTGGAGAGTCCCCATGGGTTGTCCCCATCCCTGGTTGAGAATAACAGCCTGCTCTCGGCATGCAGAATCTCCCCGACTCTATCCCAGGTCCTCCTCAGCTAAATGGAATCTGACATTTTCCTGCCTGATACCTCAGGAAGCTGCTAGGTGGGCAAATCACCTGGCTTGGTCTAAGGCCGGCTTAAACTGCAAACAAGACTGTCTACATGAGAAGGGTCTTCTCCCAACCAGGTCAGGCTAACTGGCAACCATGCAGAGCGTCTTCTCTGACCAGAGGTGGCTGTGTTTCAGCAAGGACTCAGCCAGTTCTACTCCCCGATATCCTGTTAGCTGGAAATGGCAGGGGTTGAACATGGGGTCTTCAGCACACAGAGACATGGATGTAATTGATCACAGAGTCATGGGTGCTCCCTGCGTGAGGGGTAAAAGCAGGCAGAGCACAGCATGGGCCAGCGACACCATACATTCACATGTATTTTCCAGGGACAATCCTGGATTTACGGAAGCCATCCCAGTTTCTGATTTGATCCCAGAATGTCCTGCTTTTCCTTAGGACATCCCTATTTTCATCGGAGAAATGTTGCAGAGTAGGGAGCTATGCAACCTCAGAGCCAAGGAGATAAGTAACTACAGTGGTACCTCAGGTTACGGACGCTTCAGGTTACAGACTCCACTAACCCAGAAACAGTACCTCGGGTTAAGAACTTTGCTTCAGAATGAGAACAGAAATCGTGCTCTGGCAGTGTGGCGGCAGCGGGAGGCCCCATTAGCTAAAGTGGTGCTTCAGGTTAAGAATAGTTTCAGGTTAAGAACAGACCTCCGGAACGAATTAAGTACTTAACCCGAGGTACCACTGTATACAACCTTTAGAAGACATCCGAAGACAACTCTACATAGTTTTATAAGGTTTTTTGTATGTTGGAAGTTGCCCAGAGTGGCTGGGACAACCCAGCCAGATGGGTGGGGTGGGTATGTATGTATGTATGTATGCATATTATTATTATTATTATTATTATTATTATCATCATCATTATTATTTTAATTAAATAATAAGAACCTATTTTCATCAGACAAATGTTGGAGGGTATGCATTTAAAGAACTATGGTACCACTATCAAGTCATGGCTTCTCCCAAAGAATTCTGGGAGGGGAGCCATTGTTTGTTAAGGGTGCTGAGAGTTGTTAGGAGACCGCTGTCCCCCTCACAGAGCTACAATTCGCAAGGTTCCCTGTGAGGAGGAAACTGATAAACCACTCTGGGAAATGTTGCTCCAGAAGAGGAATTAGGGGGTTGCAGCGTCTCATCACAACTCTCAGTACCCTCACAGTACACAACGGTATGGTGGGGTTGTGGCACATGGGCAGGCCTTATCCCGCTCTGTTGCTGTGGGGTTCCCAATTGTGGGGAGGGCCTATGTGCAATCAGCAGACCTCCCCCTTCACAGAGCAGCCTCCAAAGCGCAGGCAGGGAATAGGACTCATGTCACTGAAGGAAGTGGGGTGTGTGCTTAGTGAGGAGAAGAGATGGAATTTTTGCTCTTGTCCAAACTCTTTCACCTCGAAGAGACGAAATGGGGAATATGGGGAGAGGGGAAAGAAAGAGGACGAAGAACGGGCGGCGGCGGGGAGAGAGTGGCCTTTTGTGCAAGATGCCAGGAGGTTTTCTTGCACATTTATCACAAGAGGAAACAAAAGCTCGCCCCGCAAACATGCACACCCTGGTTGCCTAGGCGATGGCAACAAGGCCTGAGAGCTTGCAGGCCAGCATCCAAAGCGAACTAAAGCAGAAGGGGGGGAGGAACTGGGGGGGGGAGTGTTCCCTTGCCTCCCCGCCTTCTCCCCACCCCCCTTCCAAGGTTTGTTTGGAGGGAGGCAGAGGGTTTTCTTAAGAAACAATGCAGCAGAAGATGCGGGGAGGAGGAGGATGAAAAATTTAGAACAGGCCAAAGGACGAGGGGCCTCTTTGGAAAGAACCAGGGGTCGGGCATTGCATTTTCTCAATTTTATTCACAGTGTTATGCGGTGTCTCTGGGGGAGATTTATGGGAAGGAGGAAGGCATTGCAGTGGAAAAGCCAAAAATAAAAAACCAAAGACACCCTCTCTTGTTCTCAGCACCCAACTGGGATTGGAGAGGGCTCTGATTAAAAATCAGTCCCAAAGGATGTGCGGTGGAAAATTAAGCTACATTAATGTGATTCCTGTGAGGCCCTAGACTCTGGGATGCAGCTCAGTGGCACTGTAACTGCTCTGCGTACAGAAGGTCACTGGGAAAATATCACTTGGTGAAGCCCTAGCATGCCACCGCCAGTCAGCATAAGCAATACTAAACCATTAATTTGATTCTGAATTGATTTTAGAATGCTGTGTTACTTTTACTGTTGTTAGCCACTCTGAGCCCGGCTTCGGCTGGGGAGGGCGGGATATAAATAAATTATTATTATTATTATTTATGGCTTATTCAAGGCAGCTTCCTAGTTTCCTAGACATGGGAGGAGGTTTCCCACTGCATCTCTGAATGAGCTGTTGTTCTGGTCCAGCCCCCTCCTGACACTGGGGAGCAGGCAGGTTCAGCTGCACAGGGTGTGACTGCATGGTGCAGTCTGTCCTGAAGGAGGATTACCCAGACTTGGAGGAGGCTGCCTCTCTCCACAGGTCATTCTCTGGCCTAATTTCCTTCCAGCCAGCCTCCAGGTGGGGTGAGGAATTAATGGGTCATACTACCAGACCTCAACAATGCGCTGCTGGAAGCAACCTAATAATCCTCTGTAGCAATGTGGCAGGATTACTTGCCCTCAGGAGATGTGTGCCCGGAACACTGACTCATCCAGAAGCACAGTTCTTCACCCTACAATGCTTAACTTTCAACAGATGCATCAGAGTAGATATCACCTGCCCTCAGAGAAGCCCACACTGTGGTTTTGCATGAGCTGCTGATCTGGGTGTAAAGCTCCTGCAAGGCTCGGGGACTTAATTACACATGCTCTGCAACTGCAGAAAGTTGCCAGTTCCAATTCCCAGCGTCTCCCGTCAAATGGAGGAGAACCAGTTTTATTTAGCCAAGGACAGGAGATTATTTTAAGTAAACCTTTCAAGCCATGAATTGGCATACCTCTGCCTTGAAGTCAGAAAACAAACATGCTTCAGCAACCGGAAGCAGCAGTGGGGAGTGGGAGGGGAGAAACCTTCTCTGCAGAGCATCATCCAAAGAGAAAAAATGCCCATGACTTGTGCAGAAAATTTGGGCAGAAAACCCACTTTTAAGAAATACATCATTTTTAAAAAAATATGAATTAGTGGCATAAAACAAGTGCAACTGAGAAACCTAGTCAAGTCTAAAATCACATTTGTAACCAACTGTTTTTCCAGCTAAACTTCCATGGAAAGTACATATATTTTATGTGCATAGCTCTTAAGAACTGCTAAAATAAATATGTTAAATAGTTTTGAGTGATATTTTTACTTTAAAAACTATGAAAGGAAACATATACACTATTTAACAGTCACACTTTAAAATATATACAAGGAATGTAATAAAAATAATTTTGAAGTCAGGATTTCAATATGTTTGTAACATTTAAAAACCTGCTGTGCAGTCCTGCACATGTCAACTCAGAAGTAAGTTCCATTACACTCAGTGGGAGTAACCTTAAGCGTTTATAGGATTGTAGATTCAGGTAGGTAGTCGTGTTGGTCTGACGCAGTTGAAATAAAAAATAAAATAATTGTCCAGTAACACCTTAGAGACCAACTAAGTCTGTTCTGAGTATAAGTTTTCATGTGTATCTGAAGAAGTGTGCATGCACACGATAGCTTATACCCAGAACAAACTTAGCTGGTCTCTAAGGTGTTACTGGACAATTATTTTTTTATTTATTTATAGGATTGTAGCCTAAGTGAACTTTATGATTTTCCTCTAACCCATGCAAACATTTGATCTCAGGTACTTTGGGTGAATGGAAAAACTTTGCAAATCTTTACATGAAACATGAAATTAGTAACATGCATGTTAGCAAACAAAAGCAAAATAAGTCAAATAAACAACCTCCATCAGGTATCCACTGATTTTGAACGGTGGAAAGTTTTTGTTTCTTTTTTTAAACCATATCACAGATTGGAAGTTTAGGAAACATTGAGCTAGGGCTGGCAATAGAACAAGCATTCTCGTTGGTGCCCACACACACACACACACACACACACACCCTGGCACACACAACCCACTGAGTGTTAAGTAAACAAGGGAGGGAGGGTCACTGTCACCATGTCTGGAGGGTACATATTTACTAATGATGGCTGTACATTACTCCAGTATCAGAGGTGGTACCCTCTGAATACCAGTTGCTGGGAATCTCTAGTGGGGAGAGTCTTGTTGTCCTCATGCCCTGCTTGAGCTGTCCTTCCCAGAGGACTAGACAGGCCTTTGGTCTGACCAAGGTGCGGCTTCCGATTGGCTGCAGGAGCTTCCTGCACTCAATCAGAAGTTGCGGAAGCCATGCTGGACATTTGGCTTCCAAAAAACGTCCGCAAACCGTAACACTCACTTCCAGGTTTGCAACGTTTGGGAGGCGATTTGTTCGACAACTAAGCCGTTCAACTACCAAGGTACCACCTGTAATCCCCTTCAGACTTTCCTGTTCAACATGCAAAGGTGTGAAGCTTAGGGAGCCCAGCACCATCCCTCTTGTCCATAGCACCCAAAGATTGCTTGAAGAGGGCTACAGCCAAGAAGCAGATAAAGGATGAACACAACTTGCAATCTTAGGCTCATGAGCTCATCGCCTCATTCTGGGCAGAGACGTGTAATCAAGATTTATTTGGTCCTAGAGACATCCTCTCACTGACTGCCACGAGGTTCATCCTGACTAGGAGGACAAACCACAGCAAGCTGAAACCAAACTCTCTTCCTGGTTCATGAACTCACTACTGACTTTAAAAATAAATAAATCCAAAAACAGTAGCTAAGACAAAATGCACATCACACACACACTTCTCTGCCGTTACTATTCCTGTTAATCCTTCTAGGTTTTGGTTTTAATCAAAACTACTATGAACAATGGGGGACGCGGGTGGTGCTGTGGGTTAAACCACAAAGCCTAGGACTTGCCAATCAGAAGGTCGGTGGTTCGAATCCCCACGACGGGGTGAGCTCCTGTTGCTCGGTCCCTGCTCCTGCCAACCTAGCAGTTCGAAAGCACGTCAAAGTGCAAGTAGATAAATAGGTTCCGCTCCGGCGGGAAGCTAAACGGTGTTTCCGTGCGCTGCTCTGGTTCGCCAGAAGCGGCTTAGTCATGCTGGCCACATGACCCGGAAACTGTACACCGGCTCCCTCAGCCAATAAAGCAAGATGGGCGCCGCAACCCGAGTCGGTCACGACTGGACCTAATGGTCAGGGGTCCCTTTACCTTTACCTACTATGAACAATAAATAATAATTACTAATAAAAAAATCTTCCTACCATAAGGATTTCTAGACCCTCCCAAGAAGGGCAAATAATCTTTTAAGCCCAAAGGCCACAGAATCACAGAATTGTAGAATTGGAAGGGACCACGAGAATCATCCCTGCAATGCATGAATCTTTTGCCCAACGTGGGGCTTGAACCCACAACCCTGAGATTAAGCCATATGCTCTACCGCCTGAGCTATCCACAGTCCCTTCTACACAGCCTTCCAAGAGCAAAATGCCGGTGGAGGGCAGGCCAGAGGTGTACGTGGTGCAGAGCAACTAATGCAGATTTCATCTTTGTATAATAGGCTAGTTTGTAAACACACTCAAATGCCTCTTCATCCTCCATGCAGGCAAGCAAGAGCATTATCTATCAGCATTTTAGAACACATTCAAACCAATCAGAAACGCCCAGGATGAGAGGTGTGTCCTGGGGGAGAGATCAGAGGGCCAGAAAGAGATGCCTGGAGGGCTACATTTAGCTCCCAGGCCTGTGAGTCTTCAACCCCCTACCTCCAAGATTTCAGCAGGTAGACACTTCTCTCAGACAGAAATGCACTTAAAAAAAAGAAAAGCAAATTCAGGACAGGGCAGAGACCATGAGGCCTGCACTCCAAATGCCCAAATCTTGCATTAAGCAATACTCACCAACTTGCTGGCACACCAAGGCGCAGTCACGGCTGACGGTCCAGTGCCTTCCCCCACCATCCACTTAGTCCTGCAAGTGGCTGGGCATCATGGAGCCTTCAAAGCACTCAGCAGCTGGGGTCAGACCCCCCACCCCGTCCCACTCCGTGGGGAGAGCCCCAGCTTTCAACATCTACAACGGCCGCGATGCAGGGATTCCGGAAGCGAGCTGTGGAAAGACCAAACCCGAAATGGGAGATGATCAGCAAGCAAGAAAACAACCTCCACTGCACCTGTGATAAGGAGGGTCACTCAGCGATTATCTTATTGATGTTCAAGCCACTGGCCGTAAACAACCATAGTAAGTACACTAGACATGAGGAATGGAACACAAGATGGGAGACAAACAAGCCCCCTTTTGTGCATTATTGTGCTGCACTCTCAATCCGCACCATGTTGACCCCATGACTTCAGGGTACCTCAAGGACCGCCTCTCCCCATAACAACCGACCCTGGACTCTGCATTCATCATCTGACACCCTTCTTTGTGTGCCTCCTCCTCTGGAGGGTGGCAACAAAAGAGCAGGCCTTTTCTGCAGTGGCACCCCTTTTGTGGAATGCTCTGCATTCTGTTTTTCATCACCAGGTTAAGCAGCATCATTTTTGTCTAATACTTTACAAGGGTGGCTCAGTATTACTCCTGGCCTGGAGGGGCAGAGTATAACCCAGCGTTTCTCAAACTTCTGGTCTGCAGCTGTTGTTTGACTACAACTCCCAGCATCCCTGACCACGGGGTCCTGCTGGCTAGGTATGATGGGAGTTGTAGTCCAACTACAGCTGTGGACCAGAGTTTGAGAAACACTGGTATGAACCCATCTGTGCCACAGCACAGAAACTAAGGCTGCAAATCCTAGGTACACTCCAGAGGAACTTGCCTATCCAGTGGACACGCAACAAGGGCTTCACTGCAAGGCAGGCGTAGACAAATATACCGGTAGCACATAAAGGTTTCCCTCCAGGCAACCAGCCAAAGAAATAGTTGTGAACTTGGAGGAGTCATTTCTCCTCCTCCCTTCCTTCTCTACCCCTCCGGGCCATCAATGCACAACAACAAAGAACCAGCCTTGGAAGTTGCTGGCTCCAGACACTTTATAGCCTAGCAATGTCTCTGGACTTATCTGCAAGACAAGGCGTGTCCAGACTGTTCCAAAAGGCAGGGAATCAAGTGTTTTGGCCCTTCCAAGTCACTGGTATATGAAAGACAGGGGGTGTCCACCAGGCCCCGCCCACCCACAACATCAGCTGAAAAGGAGGGGCCTGTAGCCCTGTGGACGATATGTCTCATTGCGCCGCTGTGGACTGATGAGATGTTTTTGAAACCTCAGAGTGGTTTACAAAAAGAACAAACAATGAAATCATTAGTAAACAACAGCTGAAAACAACTACAGTGGTACCTTGGTTTAAGAACAGCTTAGTTTATGAACAACTTGGATTAAGAACACTGCAAACCCGGAAGTAGTTGTTTCGGTTTGTGAACTTTGCCTTGGAAGCAGAACATGTTCCACTTCCTGTTGAGTGTGTTCCATTTGTAAATTGAGTCCCCCACTGCTATGGGAAAGCACACCTTGGTTTAAGAACACTTTGGTTTAAGAACGGACTTCTGGAACGGATTAAGTTTGTAAACCAAGGTACCACTATACTTAAAACATTCAAAGAGTAATTAAAATTGGTAAGCTTAAAACACAGATTAAAACACCCGCCAGAGTTCTACATATCTGGGTACGTTTGCCTCAACAAATTTTTTTTTAACAGGGATCAAAAAGAGTAAACATGAAGCTGCCTTCCTGACATCAATAGGCAGAGAGTTCCAAAGTTCAATTTCTTACAAACACAGAATGGATATTGTGTGTCACTTGTAACATGGCATTCTGCAAATCAAAACAGTCAAACAGGCATATATGGGGTAAGGTAATCTTACAGGTAAACTTGCAAGTTATTGTGGGTTAAGCTCAGTGTTTCTCAGACTTGGGTCTGTTTTTGGACTAAAACTCCCATCATCCGTAGCTATCACAACCAGTGGTCAGGAATGATGGGAATTGTAGTCCATCAACAGCTGGGGACCCAAGTTTGACAAACACTGTGAAGGTGTGGTCCAAACACTTGGAGAGCCCCAGGTTGGCGAAGGCTCACTTAAGAGGTCATCCCCATTTGACTCAGCTTCCTTCTGCTGCCAAATAGGAATGAGTTCATCCAAATTGGTTTCTAAAGTAAGAGTTGATGGTTTGGGCTGGAGAGGGGCTGGTTTGGCGGGTGCCTTGAAAGAAGTAGATAGTGGGCAGGATGCTTTAGCTGAGATTCCTGCATTGCACGGGGTTGGTCTAGATGTTCCTCAGGGTTCCATTCAATTCTATGATTCTATCACAGCAGTCTGGCAGCCAGCATATTCCACTGTACCTTGTTACTCAGTTTCACAGCTCAACTATTAACAATTTCACACTTGATTCTTCTTGCAGAGCTAGTAAACGTGAAAGGCAAGACAGCCCAAGGGTCTATAGAGCTGGGACGATGGACAATTGACCTGCTAATTACTGTCAATTGACTGCCTTGCATTCGATGATAGCTGCCCTATAGCTGAATATTGCACAGTGCCGAAAGGCTACCACGTCAAGCCTTAGAGTTGTACTGACCAGCTAATTGCTATGATAGTCAAGTTGAAACTCCACACTCAGAAGGCCAGACACCTCTATGAACCAGATACTCGGGATTGCTAATGCACAGGGATTGCTAAGACTGTCACTTGGCAGGCTGCAACACACGTCTGGCAGGCAGCAAATGTCCTACTGGGGTTGCACAGCTATACCGTTACAATAAGCTGGCGGCCACTTGGCTTAAGAGATCCAACCGCTATGTCCCAAGAGCACTAAAATGGAACCTCCATGTACAGTGGTACTGTACCTCTAAAGGTCTAATGCTGAGGACACTCAGGTAAGGGCCATCATCTTCCATGTCCTGCTTGGGAGCATCATCCCAGAGGGGCCAGACTAGCCATGACCAAAAACAGAACAATTTACCTGATCCAACATGGTAATTACATTAAGGAACACAGGGATTCCAGGAATACCAAATCTGACCATTGACTAGGTCAGTGTTGACTAAACTCCAGGGTTTCAGGCAGGGGGCATTCCCAGCTTTATCGGGAGATGCCACTGAGCTGCAGCCCCTTCCCTGCCAGTGCTCCAATTGGCACCCCAAGTGCCATCTAAAAACAAAAAGTAGCTGGAGAGGTACTCTCTGGTCCTGTAGGAGTCTGGCCATTTAAGAAGACTGTTGCTCAGCAGCACAGCACATACATGATTTGCATGCAAAAGGTCCCAGGTTCAAGCCCCAGCATCTCTAATTAAATCTAATTAAAGGATCAGGTTGCCAGTTGACAGAGGAGACTTCCTTCTGCCCAAGACCCTCCCAATTGAAACGGATAGTCTTGCGCTGAATGGATGAGATGCCGAACCGAATACAAAGCATCTTCCGGTGCTCTGGGTAGCGGCACCACAATTGCATTTCAAAAACTAAGAATCATCCATTTTTGTTTTTTTAAGAGCCACTGAGCTTGTCTCTTTGCTTCAATTCAAAGCAGTAATTTGCCACTGTTTTGGGGCTCTTCCCTGGTGCTCCAGAACCAGGAAGCTCAGACGAAGCATCTGGTCCCTCGCCCTTGGTTCCCGTCTGTTTGTGTCTGCAGAACACGGCTGGCTGTAAATAATTGATTGCAAGCAATAGTTTGGAATTTAATTACATGGTTTTATAATGGTAGACTAACTAACTTGGGGGTTTTCTTGGTTGCAATTAGCAGCCGCTTCGTCACCGTTCTACTAATTCGTCGATTTAAAGAGCTGACAGTTATTGGTGCAACAGTTACCCAAAGAGGCATAATTATCGTAGATCTGGGGGCGGGGGTGAGAGAAGCGGGTGGGCTCTTCCCCAGCTTACAAAGTGAAGCGGATCAGAACAGCTTCCCTTTCCGCCCACTTCCAAATCTTCCAGGAAGGCGAGAATCAGTGCAGATCCAGCCAAGGCAAAGAGGAGCTCCCCCGGGTGAGAATTCCTGGGAGTGGGCGGGTTAGGAAACCCACATTAATGCGACAGATGAACCAAACCCTTCCTGCATTTGCTGCACACACAGGGCAACTCTTGGGAACAATTTCAGATATTCTGCACTCCAGGGGCTCTCGCCTGAATGCGACCACATCAGCAGGACCTGCGGGGGTCTTTCCTCTGCATTCAGAACCCCACAGGGCCGAAGCTGAGCCAGCATGTGGGCAATTGATTAAATGTTTGGGGTTTAATGCAGGAAACCCACTTGAAAACCCCCATTTTGCAGAAGAAGGGAGAGAGAGGGTGGGCCCCAGCGGGATAGGATTACTACTACTGAGCAACTTCTCACATTGAGCAAGACCAATTCAGCATTGCGAAGGCCATAAAGAGAAAGCAGGTCCTCCAACAAAAGGATTTGACTCTGGCAGAGTGTCTGCTCTGACTGCAGAAGGCCTCAGGTTCAATCCCAAGCATCTCCAGTGATGGGAA